TTTGATGGAGCACTCTGGGGTGGCAGCGAGGATGCTCCCAGCACTGCGTTACTGCAGGGAAGCAGAGGACAGCAGCCTTAGGTGTCACTCAGCATTTTAGATCACATCTCACTTTGATGGAGCACTCTGGGGTGGCAGCAAGGATGCTCCCAGCACTGCATTACTGCTTGGAAGCAGAGGACAGCAGCCTTAGGTGGCACTCAGCATTTTAGATCACATCTCCCAGAGGTTTGCTCCTAGTGAAAGATCGACACGTACTCCATGTCCTGGGACAGAGCTGAAGATCAGCTCCAAGAAGGTGCCAGAAGGGGTGGTGATAGATAGATAGATAGATAGATAGATAGATAGATAGATAGATAGATGTGCCGTAGCACATCTGCTAGGAGAAATGCAGATGGGCTGGTGGTGCCAGTGGTGAAGTCACATGCTTCAGGCTCCTTCTGCTTGTGTTATCTTTTGTCTCACTCCTATGTAAGAGATGCCAAACCTACCCCCACTGAAATACACCCTAACGTTCAAAGGGTTGGGACAATATTTACTGATTTCAGGATTGCTGGAGAATATAATTTCCTCCAGAAGTTCAGCACACACACTGTACACAACTGCAGAAGAAAATCTCTTATTGGTGTTTAACTGCTAATAAGATCATTTTTCAGACAAGGGAAAAAAAAGGAAAAAAAAAAAAAAAACAAAAAACAAAAAAACATCCACCCAACTGGGATAGGGTTCAGTTGTCCTAGTCAGTTTGGAGAGAAAATATTTTCAGCTTTAACTACAGAGAATATTCTGAGGCAATTCCCAAGCATGTTGAAGTTAATGGTAAACTCTTTAAATCTTGGTCATTTTGTGATGTACTACTAATTCCTAACATGCAGCTTCCATAATGCATTATGGATTAGCCTGAAGGGCACTTTTAACAATAAAAGTTCATTTTTTTTGCATGCTTACGTAGATACATTCTTTCTCTCCTTACTAAAAATAAACAAAGAAGAGTTGGTCTTCAAGAACATGAAACACATTTCACTGTCACATTAAGACCACTTTTGTTGAGCAAACTACAACTCTGGGGTTTGGTTTGAGTCGTTGATTGAAATCCAATGCAAAAAATTCATACCACGCTAATTGTTAGTGCAGGCACAAAAAAACAGTTGAGCAAGAAGGATTAAAGGCTGCTCAGGCGTCGCAGAGCTCTTTCCAACAAGACAAATTACAGCTATTATTTTGTATCAATGAACTGTAATAATCTGAAATGCCCTGAACTGAAAAGAAAATTTGTAATAATGAACCTTACCTTCTAGGCTGAGATGATCAAGGTACTTCTTTGATAGAGAAGGGGACATTCCTCATGTTAGGTTTGCTCATAGGAATTTATTTAACCAAATACATTTTCAAAATCACCTTCCAATCAGAAAATATTTATTATGACTAATGTTCAAGTAGAGGTTGTTGACACAGATGCCTAAAAATAATGTTATTTTTAAAATAAACTTTCTCACAGAAGTTAGCATTTGGCCTGCAGGAACAGGGAATGCAGCCTGAGGGCACGTCTCACCCTTTGCACAGCTGGTCTTTGCAGAACAGAGAAAGTTTTAACAAAAGCAGTTGCTGTCTTTAGCTTTTTGATCATGTTTTAAAAAATCAATTTTACCTCTGGCTTTCTGTGCTAGCATGAAGCTGACTCCTCTGCAACCTCTTAGACATGTTCAGTGCTTAAGTCCACCTGGGTAGGAGCATCTTGGTGCTCTCCTCCAGAACTAGCAGGAGGTGACGCTGGATGACAGCAAGGGTAATCCTCTCAGCATGCAATTCTAAACAGGTCTCAAAAGATGAAATCAGCTGAAGAAATGGGTCATTTAGAGGCTGGTCCCGTGCTCCTCAGTGTTTAAAAGTCTATCTGCATTCCTCTCCCACTTGATCTGTGGAGCAGCTGTGCAGTGCTCAGCACAGGCCCAGCACGGTGCTGCTGCTGGGCTGCGTGCACGCCGGCTGTGCCCACCACAGGGGATCCTTGCTTGCCAGGCTAAAATTCTGCATGCCTGCTAAAAGGGTTACATGGGAGCCTCATGAGATGACAAAATGGCAGAAAATTCTTTTGGTTTTGACAGTCACTGGTCAGACTCCCATCAACACCATTTGGGAGTGCACAGAACAAGGGATGGGGGTTACTGGTCCCTGGTCCTCCAGCACAGCCCAGAAACTCAGTTCTGTGCCACACTGCCTCTAGGCAAGTGCTACAGCTTCCCAAAAGGGAGGAGGAGCAGCACCCACAGTGGCTATCAGCCTCTAAGAAGGTGTTCCCAAAAAATGTGACTGACTGATGATTTAAGGCAAGAATTGCCTTAAAAAATACTGCCAGAAAGAAGAATGTGTGCAGAGACTTTGGAGACCCTGTGCCCACGTGTTTAAATTTCTGTCTTCAACTTTGGAAGACAGAGGCAGGAGCAGGATCAGCGGGTGGAAACGATGGCTTTTGGGAACAAGTTGCTTCCCCTGTCAGCAATCATGATCCCCTTTTTCCATCCTTAACTTCTCTATTCATCCAAGGTAGAACACAACAAAAATGAATCTTCAAGAAGGGGCAGCAAGAACACCCACCGAGAGGTTTACGTTGGGGTTTCAGTCTCCCAGGCAAAGCTGCTGGGATCTTTTGGAACTGCCTCCAACTGACAAATCTGTGATCCAGCCCCTGGCTCTCCACTCCACAGCAATACTGTCCCTGTGCATTTCACCTCCACTTCACAAATCCCTACATACACTCCCCTTCTCCCACATTAGGTTTGGGGGTTGGTCAGGTGGTATTGGGGGGGAGAAAGTGTTCACCATCTTTTGACCTGACACTGTTGCTTTGTCACATGCTATATTTGTAGTAGGTAAATAGTAAAGCTTGTTCAGCTTTTAAAAACAAGAAGATAAGACTAGGGTCCTGGAAGAGGAGGCAATTTGTACAAGGGGTAATTATGTCCCCCTCTACCATTATTGTGCTCTTCTCTGTAATGGATTTAAGTACTCCAGGATCTCCTGACAGTGAAGACACACACTGACAAGCTACCAGTGCTGTGGATTTGGGTGACAAAAGCAGATGCAAGAAAAAAAATCCAACTCTTTCAG